CGCCCCAGAAGATATGTACGGCCTACGATGATGATGTCATTCACGTAGACCAGACAGGCATCGCCAATTAGCCCGGTAAGTACAAGCTTCATCAACCTTTCAAACGTTGCTGGAGGATTGCACAACCAAACGGGTTGAGTTTAAATTGCCACAGACCCTTTCCTGTGGAAAATGCAGTTTTCTCCTTGTCCTTAGGGTCAATTTCAACCGGCCAGTAGCCAATTTTCAGATCCAGCGTATTAAACCACTTTACGCCTGTAAGCATGTCCAGCGTGTCATCAATTCTTGGCAAGGGATAGCTGTCCTTCTTCGTAACGTCATTCAGACGGCGGTAGTCAACACAAAACCGCATGCTGCCGTCCTTCTTCTTTACCAGCACCACAGGTGAACACCATGGACTAGATGTGGGTTCAATAACACCATCCTTCACCATTCCCTCAATCATGGTTTTTACTTACTTTTCACGTGCTACAGGCAATTTTCTTGGCCGCTGACAGATAGGCAATTTTTCTCCTGTGTTTATTTTGTGTTTAACTAAGCCTTCTGTTTCAGAACAGTTTCCTATGTCAGCTTCGTTTGACGAGAAAACATCGGCGTACTTGAGTAACAACTTCTTCGCCTTGACCATTTCATTCGGGGAGAGAACGCTGCGACAGTCTTCTAAAAGTGTGGTCACTCTCGTTAGTCCATCCCTGCTGTGGGTCCCAGTCGATAGATATTGGCACCGACGCAACCAATACACTTCCTCACTAGTACCAACCAATGTGCCTTTTTCTATAATCTGTTCCTGATCACAAAGGTTCAGCACACGTACACCTGAGATGTCGGCGGTTCTGACCAAGGTTCGAGCCACTTTCCATGGAAGGTTATTGTCTACCCTTTCCACGAGTACACAACGAAGAGTTTGCCCAGGATTCCTGGGAAGTCTAACCAGCATAATCGTTTCCGATCTCGGCGGAAGAACAATCTTCTTAAGGCTGTACACATTCCCTGGTAACGCCCCTTCCAAGAAAAGTTCCTCTTGTCCACATTTCAAAACACCTTGCTTAACGTCGATCTCACAACAATTCTTCCTCATAAAGTCTAGGCCCAGGATGCAGTCGTCCATTATATCAGCCACGATGACATTATGCAGGTAGATCATGTTGCCTAGCTTCAACTCCATCTCCTTCTCTCCACGGACGGGTATGCGCTGACCGGTGGCTGTCACCAAATTCATGCGTTCTCGGTTGTATGCGGAGCCCCCAAGGAACTGACTTATAAGTTGGGAACTGACAACCGTGCGAGAGGCTCCAGTGTCTATGGTCAGTTTACACGGCATTCCGTTGACCTTGCCCTTGATGATTAGGCTGTTCCCATTATGGGTTTGTGAGATCGTAATCCTTGGGGCTCTTTTAACATCAGCCAGCACCCACTCCGCAGTCCTGGCTTTTAATCGTTTCCCTGCTGCAGCTGTGCAGTGCTGTTAGCCGTGCTACCCTCTCGAGATCGATCACCTTCCCTTTCTACAGTTCGCTTAGGGCAGCTGGATCGAAGATGGCCCCTTTCCCCACAGCCGTAGCACCTAGGGCTGTAGCCGTTATTGCGGTCCCGAACGGTAGCTGCTACAACCTCTCTGACGCGATGGGAACGATGATCCTGCCGCACGGCTTCCACCTCCAGTGCAAGGGGTAAGGCGTCCTTAAGCGTCTCGTGGTGCCCGAGCCTTATAGCAGCTCTGACTTCAAGGTCGCGGATGCCGTCAATGAATGTCTGCACCAGGTTCCCTACAATGAGCGCAGGTACAGACTGGTATGCTTTTCGAACCAGCTTCTCTACCTCAAGGGCCCACTACTGAAGGTTTTCGTTACTGTGTTGCACGCGATCTTTAAGCTTCGCACGAAAGACGTGTTCCAGGTGAGCGTCGCCATATCTCGCCTCCAATGCCTCAAGGAGCTGCTCGTAACTCACCTCTTTACCGAGAGTTTCCAGAACAGTTAAGGCCTGGTCGCGCAGGCCTAGGGTGAGAGCAGTCATGGCCTGACTTTTATTCCAGCCGTTCGCCTTCATGACAGCTTCAAATTGGATTTTGTAGGCCGACCAGGAAGAAGTCCCGTCGAACGGCGGCACTTTGAATCCACGTAGCGAAGGTGTTGTAGCAACCACGGGAGCTGTATCTCCATCCCCAAGTTTGAGGTCGTCCAGCGTTTTATTCACGTCAGCCATCTCGTTGTCAACCCGATTGAACACTTGGTCGATTCGGGTTTCAGCTTCCGACAGGCGGTTGTCATATTGAGCAACCTTATCCTTCACCTCCCTTATTTCTTTCCCAAAGGTAGCGTGAAGGTCCTTCATGAGAAGTATCTGCTTTTACTTATCGCGTTTGAGCTGCTCTTCCAACCGACGGCCCTGTTACTCCTGTTAGCGGGCCTGTTCCTCCTGTTGGCGGGCCTGTTCCTCCTGTCCGCGCTGCAGCTGCTCTTCCAACCGACGAGCCTGCTCCTCCTGTCGGCGTTCCTGTTCCTCCTGTCGGCGAGCCTGTTCCTGCAGCATCATCATCAGAGCACCTAAGTCAGGTGCTGCAGATGCAGGAGCTGCTGACGGGCCGGCCTCCGTGGTCAACAACTGGCCCACCGACGTCTGTGACGTTGCACCACCAAATCGTCTCTGGTCCGTCTCCTGTTGGCATTGACTTCGGGTACGGATACCCTCCGTGTCGTCTTTAGGTAAAATCGGCATATTTGATCCCACTTCGGACACCAATTGTTACGAGCTTGGGGTTGGAGACAATTAAAAACTGCCGATTGAATAACCAAAATTGACACTTTATTTACGGAACACTAATTACAATCTAAAACCACACTAATAATAAAACACAATTGTACTACTGATCACTTATGTTCGCAGTTGTTTCGCTTCGAAGTATTCTATTGTATCGGTAATTCAATACTGCCTCGGTCGTGGTCTATACCGGCCTTATATAGGGCCTCAGCCTCAGATAGTTTTCAGACCTCGACTTTACTCGACACTAGAGGGCGCTAGTGGTGACTAGTGTTGCCATGTACAAGACATTAATGGTGGCGCGCAACAATAATATTCTTAGAATAATCTTTTTTTGAGAAAAGATTCAAGAGTTTTTCTAGATATGAATAGAATACTTTTTAGAATATTTTCCCTTTATCAATAGAGGTTAACAATTTACAGATTTAATTTAGAGATTTCAGTAGCACATATTTCAAAAATCATTTTGGTGGACAACGAAGATATACATCTATTCGTTCGTAATATTTTAAAGTATTTTTTATTATACACTACCACCGTTTTGCTCCTCCCGGCAGAAAAATGAGCTTACGGAATATCATTCTATTTTCAACAGATCTTTCTTTTGTTTATTTAACCAAGACTCTGTTATACATATAACATGGAAATCACATTTCCGAAGAGTAGAGTTATTTGTTATACTATTGTCTCTTCTTATTCCCACTCTTTGGCTGGTGGCAACATGATTCATGTTGTTTGTACAAGTGGAGGGTGAAGATGGGATAGTTGAAATTCGGTGATTTGTCGGCGTTTCGACCATTTTTGTTTCATTTTTGCCATCTTTTGTCTGCGCGTACGTATTGGTTCTCTCGTCATTTTGTGGTCTATCGGTCGTTTCTTTTTCATTGATGATTAGCTTGTTGTTTCTTATAATTGCATGGTGTCCATATATAAGGCATGTATCAACTTTTTTTATCTCACAATGTTTGTGTACTTAAATACTCTGTTACACTGAAACTAGCTTCTTTTTAATATATATAGTTATCCAGGACCTATTTTTCATTCTTTTGCTAATTTGTTCGATTTTCTACTCTCCTTTTTACGACTCCTTTGCCTATGAATGTTAGTTCTTCTATATAGCCTAATAAATCTGTGTATAGGTCATAAAAAATATTTATTACTCTTTCCATTACTATTTCGTCTGTTTCTCAATAACTCTATACAAATCCGTGTAGAATTAACACTATCATAGGTTTCTTTGTTTGGTTGGTGTACATTTTCGTGTATTTCTTGGATCTCTTTTTGCAATTTTTTTATTTTCATCTTGGAGAGTATTGCATTTTTGTTCTAATTGCTATATTTTGAAGTTTAAATTCGATAAGTCTTTTTTAAATTGTGTTTGTTCGAGTAAAATTTTATTGAACCTTTTTAAAATCGGCTTTAATTTCAGATATAGCATTTTCTATTTCTTTTTGAAATGAGGATTGTATTGCATTCAATATGTATTGGTTGTTTTTTTTTGCAATATACATGTAATTTTTTTAAGGTGATTTGTTCATCAACTTTATTAAAACATATAATCACATCTTTCTTGATTTGGGATTTTGAAGTTTCAAGTGCTACAGTATTTCCTTGGGGCGATATTACAGAGTCATCGTCACTAACTGTTGAGTTTTCTTCATCGAAACGTGATATTTTTTTTTAGTAATATTTGGAATAATGTTAGGTTTAAATTTTGAGGATGTTGAGTTCGAATAGGCGTATTACTGTTGTCTGCTTTTGGTTCATTTGATCGGCAAAATTTCCACAACAGTTTGTGGTCTTTTGTCATGTTATAAAACCGCACTTCAGAAACGTTAACACATTGGAGATCATAATTTAGGTAACAAATAAAGCATTTCAAAAATATCCTATCGGGTATCTCTTGACGGCAGCCTGCACACACGCCTGTCACACATTACTTGCTGTTTACTTATCATTTCTATTGTAATTTTTGAATAAAATATTATTGTTTACTATTTTTTTAATTAATTAAAATGAAGAGCTAATGTTTATATGGACAGCGCCCTCTGTTACTAATCCTACACCTATAATAATTAAACAAAAGAGTGACTTTCAGTACTTAAGTATTATTTATAATCTATATTGAATAAAAAAGTTTCTGTTTCTGTTAAACGTTTTACACAACAGTACTTTTTATCGTGTATTATTATTTATAATTATTTACTTGGTAGAATGTAATAAATTTTGCAGAAACTTACCTGCAGTTATCTATGAGTGGGCTGGTGTTTGGGAAGATGTTGCTGAGCAGCATCAAGCAGGGCAGCACCACGACCGACAGGAACTGGATCTGTTCCGCCGGCTGATTGATGCGACGCTTTCTGTCCATCATGCTCAGAGGGGTGTAACCCATGATACGCTCTCGATCACCCTTGTTGAAAAATTTATAGATTTTTGAAGTGAACACTTCTTCAGGCACGTTGGCTGCTTTTGGGATGGGAAAGAAGCACTGAACTCGCGTGACCGTCACGCTCAGGTACATATATACAGGTGTGTATTTATAAATTTATTTGTATTACATAGATAATAATCATTCTTTTTCATGGAAAACAGCGCAATAAATGAAAATTTTATTACTATATTAATACGTTGATAAAATAATTTCTAATAAAAAAAACTTTTTTTCTTAACCACTCAAAAATAATGTTTACAAGTTTGTGAAGCTAAGAAGTTTTCACTTCTGACGTGGAGTGCTAAGGCCCGTATTAATAAACGTTACTCAGCTCAAGAACACGCACTTGAGTACAATCTTGAGGTTATGATCTTATTAATAAACATATCTCAAGATGCGGTTTAGGTTTACGATATCAGCTGCCACACTGATTAATAAACGAAACTCGACTCTCAAGTGCGTGTACTTGAGTGCAAGTCACAAAACAGTATTTTTAAGTACAGCGTTTTGAGATACTGTGTTTATATGTTTATTAATCAGCAACGATCTTCAGATGTTGATATCGTATGACTACGCACTTGAGTTCGTCCTTGAGTAATGTTAATAAACGTACGGGCCTATGACTGGCAGTTTTTTTTTTGATGTGCCTTTATTTACGATCTCTTCTCAACCACAACGATCGATCATGCTAAATTGTAGAGCCAAGCTGTAACTCTATTATGGCTGCAGCACAACCTGGTCGATCATGACTGCTTCGTTGGTCTAGTGATCGTGAGCGCAAATGATGGTCCTGTGGGGGTCGAGCAAAAATCAGTTATTGAGTTTTTCTGTTTAGAAATGCTCAGTACCAGTATGATGCTACTATAAAACATTTCTATATATATTCCGTTTTCACTAGGAACGAGATATTATATTTTAGTCCTCTAGGCATGACAACGCATTTGCATTTTTTTTATCGAACAGAGGTTCTCCTCCTCGGAAGAGGCCAACTTCACCCGCTTTTGTTCTTCAGTCGCTTGTTTCTGTATCGCGTTTTACGATACCGAACTTCGCAACGGCACTCTTCCTCATCCCCTTTACCCGAATCCGTTACGCTAAGTCATTTACTATTACTATGAAAGAGGAATACCTCAAAGGCGCTCCCGAACGCCTGGTTATTCCCCTATTTAACTAACTGTAAGTGAATACAATGAAAAATTCCCTTAAAACTTGCAGTCTCAGTAATACATCACGTGTTCTTATATCTTATAAGTTAGTACCTGATTATAAAATTCCTCATAGATAGACTCGGTGATTGCCTTGGCGATTCCGAACGGCTTGCAACAACCTGATAAGTCGCTCGTTGTCATTAGAATACCCTGAATTTTAAAAATAACCGTTTAATAGTCTATTATGATTTTTAAAGATACAAATGATGACCATCTTTATAGACCATCACAAGTTCATTGTTGAACATTAGTCTCCTATAAGAAATGCCAGTACAAAGCACGGTTTTGAGCCACCTGCATTTATCAACTTTCTGCATCTGTAAGCAGATCGTTACTCCATCTAGTGGGAGACCGCCCTAAACTTCGCCTACCAGTACGAGACTGCTACTCGTGAACCTTTTAAAAAATAAAGGCTACAACAACAGTTTTTGCCATTTCGACACACACAAATAATTTCTTGCTGTGTCGCAGAGACGTAGATATTATTATTTATTAACTCATAACATTCCTTACGGTTTAGTAAGCTGAAGTGGCAATGGGCCGGCCATATAGCTCGAAGAACCCAAAACCGATGGGAAAGAAAGGTTCTAGAGTGGCAGCCTCGTAGCTGTTGGCGAAGTGTATAGTGGCCCCTCACTAGATTGAGTGTCGACCTGGTAGTCGATGGATGTAGGTGGCTCAGGACTGTGCGTTGTGGCGTTTCTTGGGGAAGACCTATGTTCGGCAGTGGACTTGTAAAGGGCTGTAATTATGATGATGATTCATTATAGTCTACCAGTACACTATTGCACATAGACCTCTCCCACAAATATTCCCCTCATAGTGCGATATTTGCCACAATTGCCACGGCAAAAAGTAGTTATTTTTTCAATTACTATTTAAACCATTGGGCTTGCCTTTATCTACCGACATCAAAAAGAAGACGGTACTCAATTCAACTGTGTTTGTTGTTGTTTGTTACCTCATAACTTTTTAGTGGGTGACCCGATTTCGATGATTTTTTTTATTTGAAAGCTGGTGATTTACATGTGGTCCCATATGAATCCAAAACTATTGATCAAGGTCTGGTCAATAGTTTTGGAGTTATTCTTAATAATTTAGATTGAGGTCGGTCGTACAAAATGTTTAATTTTAAATTATTTTCAATTACTATTTCAAATCTTTTTTTTAATCTACTTTAAACCATTATTTATAGTACAATACTGACGGTCAAGTTGGTGGTAAAACTCCTACACTTCTTATTAGTTTGTTTCCCAACCTTTTTTTAGTCGAGCCTCCCCGGATTATAAGTAATTGAAAATATATTTTCTCGTCCACCTTTAATTTATTGTCAAATATTTTAATTATTTATTTTGTATAATGTGTTACTAGTGAGTTAATTGAGCTTGCATGATCTGATCTGTACCAATTGTTCGACTGTAGCTTCTGTTTCATTTCATTGATTTGTTTGGTAAATGGAAATCGTGCCGCATTCTCGGCCCACAGTGCAACAACTCATTGCTAAGCCACTGCGCCACGGAGCCGTCTATGGGAAATCCTGTCCTAGATTAAGTTGTGCATTAGAGAAGTTTGAATTTGGAATGTGAAATGACCTTGAGCAGCGCGCGGTGGTCCGGCTCCTGCCAGCGGAAGGCGCGGTCGGTCACGAGGCGGGCGAGCTGCGCGCGCGCCGCGAAGTAGGCGGCCAGGTCCGTGCACAGGATGGCGGCGCGCACCTCGCGCAGCAGCCGCGCGCGCTCGCCCGCCGCCAGCCGCGACATCAGCCGCTTGTCCTGCCCACGGCACACCAACAAAATACTCGACACTAGTTAAACGCTATAAGTAACTATGTAGCCGACATCCGAGTTTACTCTTTAAAAAAAAACGTTACTTCTAAAGCAACGTTTTTTTTTTTAATTACTAGGATTTCTCCTGTATCGTGGAAGTTTACATACATAAATCAAGACCCGGAACAATTACCTCGCTCTCACAGAATACCTGCGTAAAATAGCAGCTAAATGTTGCTGTGTTTTGTTTGGTGAGTGTAGAGAACGAGAGTCTCTTTTTACTGGAAATGAGGCATTCTATCTTAGTACTGACAGGTGGTAAAACATCTGAATTTTGATTCGTTATCGAAAATAGATGTAGATTTCTATGGGACATGACGAGCACTTAGCATCAGTTGGACTATGTCCTAGTTTGTCACCCTTATCCTATAAAAAAATTACTTTTAGGCCACAAAAATACTTGTTCCGTGCGGGATTCGAACCTGCGGCCCTTAGCGCCGTAACTACAACCGTAAATGTTACGTGGCTGGAGCCGCCAACTATATAAATAAAGGAACAGACGAACTTTACTATTCCTATTTACTACTTATAAAGAAAAGAAAACGTTACAAAACTAGGTAATTACGCAAGAACATTGATAGAATTAGGCGTTACTTTGCGGAAATCCATTATAATGGGATCGTTATAAACTAATTTGCTTAATTCCGCGTAAAGAAAGAAAATGATGTGTCCTGCCCAGTTTTACACCCTCCCTCAATCACGCGCACTATACTCGTCACCGTTACTCCCAGCACTACCACCCTCAGCACCACCACACTAGGCACGACACACAACTCTTGAAAATACGACACGTGTTTCGCCTCTACACGAGGCATCCTCAGGTGAAGTAGACTCTGCGGAGGCTGGCCGCTAAGTGAGCGGCGAGCCGAAACTACTGCTATTTATACTACTTGCTGACGTAACCGCGCTCCAATTACGTAGCGAGCGATTACGTTATGCGATCAATCACCGCCTGACGTACGCCGATATTTGCTGTGAAATTAACAACAAACTACTGCGAAAAGTCCGCCTACCCTACAACCACGCAACCAAACGCTGACCACCGCACCGTGAGGGTGACAAACGACCATGTTGCGAGGCATATCATCAAGGAGCAGGCTTAAACATGTTTAAGAGAGGCGAGTCGGAAACATTTGTTTGTTCATTCAGCAGTGCAACATTACCGTTATTATTTTTTAATATCTCTAACTGTTCCAGCACACAAAGTCGTAGCCCTTTATTACAAGTGTGTAAGACTTTAAAGGAGTGGTCATTGGCTAGGCTGTATCCAGTATCTAAGAGATGTTTAGCCAAATGTGATTTATCGGGGTTACACACTACAGTCTACTTCACCTGAGGATGCCTCGTGTAGAGGCGAAACACGTGTCGTATTTTCAAGAGTGGTGTGTCGTGCCTAATATGGTGGTGCTGAGGGTGGTAGTGCTGGGAGTAACGGCGACGAGTATAGTGCGCGCGATTGAGGGAGGGTGGGAGGTCTCCTTAAAATTGGGCAGGACACATCATTTTCTTTCTTTACGCGGAATTAAGCAAATTAGTTTATAACAATCCCATTACGCAAGAACAATTTTATAGGATAATTCTAAATATAAATCATAACTAAAACAACACCTTAGTCTTTACAGATTGTTAAAGTTTTGTGTTGCCACACATAAAACTATATTAAACCATTTCCTAGTCTAGTAACTACTACTAACGTATCCATCCACGTGGCATTCCGCCACAACTTGTTTTTTTTTTTATATAGAAGAGGGGGCAAACGAGCATGCGGCTCTCCTGATGGTAAGTGACTACCGCCGCCCATGAACAATCGCAACACCAAGGGAATTGCAGATGCGTTGCCGGCCTTTTAAAAAGGAGTAGGCTCTTTTCTTGAAGGTCCCTAAGTCGTATCGGTCCGGAAAAATCGCTGGTGGTAATCGATTCCACAAGGAAGTTGTGCGAGGAAGAAAACATCTTCTAAATCGCACAGTATTGGACAGCCAATCATCCAGATGGTATGGATGGTATCGCAAGTTTTGTTGCGATGTGCGATGGTGAAATTGAGCGGCTGGAATTAGTCCGAACAATTCCTAGAGCACTCTTCGTGCAAACTGGCTGGAAAAGACCGCATCCCGTCCCAATCGGCCTACCTACCGCTATGGGACCTATAGAGGCACCCGTAGATGCGGGGATGGTTGTCGCTGTCTACGCGCAGCCATAGGATGGACAGGTCCGTACCTTTAAGACTGCCAAGGCGTCGAAAACAGATGTCCTCTCTGACGTATACGCAAACTCCAGCCCGGGGCACAAAGGAGTGTTCTAATTTGTACCCCGGGTAGGAGAGACATGAAGTATCAGCCGGAGAGGATACCTGAGTCTCGGTTGAAAAGATTTCCCCGTCTCTAGATGGTAATGGACAGCGTCAAGGTTGGAATGAAGACCCCTAAAGTTGCAAAAATTCACGGATAGCGTGACAGTTGTCGCCTTGGTCTTATTGCTCCGATTGCCCCGAGCAGTACTCAGGAGTGGAGTAGTTTGGTCGTGGATGCTCAGCAAGGTATTCTCCAGGGGTGCTGGTACCCTCCTGGGGTAGCCTTTTGTTTAATTCCACTAGCGGTACTACATATGTATGGTGAGGGGGGGGGGAGTTGGGACTCCGGCCACCTGCACTCACCAAGCGCAACGCAGAGGTGAACCTCTACTTCACGCTGGTACGAGTATTCTGTGAGGTCGTGGTAACACCCCGGTTCGAGCCGGCCCATCCGTGCGACAGCAAAAGCTGCCACGTGGCTCTACCACAGTTAACACACGGTACATCTTGCTATACGTCCCTCTAGGTCAACAATTATTATTAATCATTTGAAGTTGACATACATTAAGTCTACTCATTGTCGTTTCTCATCGTGCATCGTGCATGACCTTGGCAGGTCATACAGTAAGATGAAACGTGTGTATGGTGCTTAACACTAATCAAAGTCTTCACTAATCCATTACGCACTAAGTTACGGCCAATATTTGTAAAATATTGCGCAACGTCTAGCGTCTAAATTTACAGCCGCCATTTATTTGAGATCGCACTTTAGTATAGTTGAAATTCATTCATTAATTATATATTACTAGCTTTTCCAGCTGCATTGCTCGCCAAGACTTCGTTTTACCAACATTATGGAAGTTTCTTGTTACTTAAAAAAAAATCAGCAATGATCTCGTTGTCTCTCAGTGTCTGAGAGTCTGCTTCTTTGTTACCAACTGCGTAAATTTGTTATACTTAGTGTAAATACAAAATGGTGCCACTAAATCCGGTCCAGATTTTGTGATTTTATTTTTGGCACTACACCAACATTATTTGAGAATTTGTTCATAACTTAATTGTCACCTGTAAAGCATAGCTATGAATCATCGTCTTATCAAAATTAATTAATTATATAAAATAACTTCAATCAGTCAAGTGATTTAGAAGTTAAACGATCTATAGCAGATTATTATATATTAAATATAGACTACCTCAATGATTTTCTTTGCTAGAAAATAATGGTGGTTTTCCAACTGCGACGATTTATACATTTGTGACAGAGGATGCTTGCAGAGTTTTAGAAAGTTGTTGTTGAAGCCTGGATGATCCAGGTCATGGCAGAGCCCTGCCAACATCAGACCAGCCGTCTGAAAAGATATCGAAAAAGATATTGAAATACGTGTTGATTTAGTTAGTACCATAATAAATAAATAATCAAATAAATTATAAAAATAAAATGTATTAAACATTCGCTTAACATCAAAATATTACAATGGTACATTTTATTTGCGGCCTTTGTTTTTTTTTTTTATAGTATAAGGGTGACAAACGAGCACACAGTCCACCTGATGGTAAGTGGTTGCTGCTGCACATAGACATCTACATCTATCCTCTATTACAAATCAAAATGTAGATGCGTTGTCACCCGTGCCCGTGAGGACTAAGATGGAATGCCTCATTTTCAGTAAAAAGGGCCTCCGGCCACCTGCACTCACCAAGCGAAACGCAGAGGTAAACTTTTACTTCACGCTGATTTTCTGTGAGATTGTGGTACCACCCCGGTTCGAGCCGACCCATCCGTGCGACAGAAAAAAGCTGCCGCGTGGCTCTACCACTGTTAGAAACTTTGTAACCCATTTCAATTGAATTAATGAGGGCTAATAATCCCACAATCACCAGATGTCGCTAGTTGGGACTAAGCTGGATGTATTTGGCACGGAGATGGTAACACAGTGTCACCAATCACCAATCACCATCATTGAAAAGTTTTAATTATAAATTTCTCGGTTTCTAGTGTATACTACAATGCCTCAGTGCTGTATTCTTTGTATTTTATAATTTTTTTTATTATTCTACTTCTAGAAACATTCGTAGGTCGGTTTATCCATTTCTGGTCTAATTAATATAAAATCTATACTAATATTATAAAGAGGTAAAGTTTGCAAGTTCGTGAGTTCGTTTGTAGGAAGTAATCTCTGGAACTACTGAACCGATTTTAAAAATTCTTTCACCAATAGAAAGCTACATTATTCCTGAATGATATAGGTTATATTTGATTGTGATTAATAATATATTTTAATGTGAAATAACAATATTTGTCAATCAATTCCGAAAATAAATCCTAAACACAGTGAGCACGGGTCAGCTAGTATAACTAATATTTCACAAAAAAAATTATTCTCTATGCTTTTCTAACAAATACCTAATTTATAAGTGTCGCCGCACTAGTGCAGTAAAAAGTCGTGGATACTCTCATTGAGAGATGTTAACAATCTGTGAACATTTTCACGACCGTCCCCGCCATTACATTAGATTTCTTCTTCTTCTTCATCAGCCCCTTAGCATGTGAGAGGTTCAGATTGTAGAGAGGATTTCTCTTTATGGTCACGCTGGACAGGCGGATTGAACATCGCAGTACCCAGACATATATCGCATCTTTGACGCGACGACGTAAAGACAATCGAGATGGTTATATCTTCATCTAACAGAAACCATAAGATCGTGTTGATATATTTATTAGTCACCTTTTGTTCCCCCCAGGGAACATAATAGGGTGATGGATTCATACAACAAATCCTCGCAAAGGAATTCCGATTTCTACCAACGATGATACGAGACTGTTGAAATGATTACTAACTCCCTTACATCTTTAAGGATGCTTAAAATTAGTTAAGATCTGTACAGGAATTGCAATCGTAATGGATTTCCGCAATGTAACGTCCGATTCTATTAATTACGAAGAAATTAATAATAACAAAAAAACATCAGAAGAGACTTAACAAGGCGTTCCATGTTCAAGACATTCACTAGTCCGTTGGTGAACATAAGCACCTTCCTCCAAAGAATGCAACTTAACACCGTCTTGAGCCACCTGTATCTATCCTTACATACAATTAAAACCGCTAAAACAGTTGCCGAGATAATAACTAGGTTATTCGTAGTCTGGCAAAACCAACACTGCAAAGAGTTCCATTCCTTTTCGTGTGTGTTCATTTACCTTGGAGACACCCGCCATACTTTCGTAGGGTCTCCAACTTCAAAATAGAGGATTGTCTAGACAGCTCAACGCTTTAGGAAAATTGCTCTTTGCATCAAGGTTTTTGAAGTAAAAACGTCTTTAGGAGCGTTGGACGATTTTCGATGGTTAAAATCTTATGAGTTCGCGTCACCAACATGCTGTAACCAGACTAATGTTAATGAATATAATTTACAAATTATAAAATTAAATTTTTGTTATTACAATTAATTTGAAAATCCAAAAAACTTCAAAGTTTTTATTTCTGTCGGCTGACCCCAATGAGCCATTTTTTTACTTTTGATAAATAATTTACTTACCATCACAGTTACAGTCAATTAAAATCCACTGCTGAACATAGGCCTCCCCAATAGATTGCCTCATAGGGGGTATATTTGACATAGTTGTCACGCTTCGCAAGCGGGTCGGCAACCGCAGTTATATATTTTTTGTCGTTGTTAGGAAGACGCTGCTGCCCATCTCCTGATTTGTTTCCCACTGTCGCCTTTTATGCTACCCACGGGTTAATATGGGGTATTACTAGTAATTTACTTGATATAATGAATTTATGCAAGTGCTTAAATTAAACATTTACCTCGATAAAGCTAAAGAAGCCGCAGTTGTTCTTCAATATGACGTACATGGTGTGGGTAAAGTTGAAGGCATGTTCAGCGTTGTGGTAAGGATTGTCTCGGTAGCAGCTGAGGACGGTCAGCACAAAATCGGCGAGCCGGTGCCGGTCGAAGTTTGTGTGTGCGAAGGTCTCAGTATACATGAGGCAGACCAGGCCCGGCATGTCTTCCTTGTTGTCTTCGCCAATATAAAAATCGAAACTGAAACCAGAAAACATTCAGAAAAAAACATTATCCCCGCACTAGTACTTTCTCCTGTATCGTAGAGACAGTTTACATAAATTGTACAAGTACAAACATAAAGACCCAGAACAGTTATTTCTAAACCTAGACAATAAACGTAATGGTTCCGAGCGGATTTCAAACCCGCGGCGCTCCACGCTGCAACTCAGCGTTTTGCCACTGCGCCACGGAGCTGTCAAATTTACTAGACCGAGAGCCAGCCTCTCTGTATTCTACAGGATACATTTTGGTTAGTGGTGAGAAATTACATGATTTGATTTCGCCCTCTCCCTTCCACCACTGGACAACCAGACGCTCGGCTGGTATCTCGCCTCTTTATTGTTGACTAGCTGTGCCCGCGGCGTAGCTCGCGAATATAGGTTTTACTTAAAGAATTTGACGTTTAGGGTAAGAGAATATTAAACGATTTATATCATTACTGTATGAATAAGTGGTAACAAAATAAATCGATACGCTCAAAGTTCTAAGTCGTTTATGATAGAGCTTCCGTGTAAACGACGATAGAAGTAGACTTAGCCGGGGCGTACAGAAAAAGGTTGGCATAGAGTTGGCCATGTGCAAAACAATCAGTACTGGGGTCCACTCCTACAACGCGTAAAGTTTGACCTTGCGCTTTATTTACGATCGTCGCATAACACACGCTGAGTGGGAAACACACTTAAAATAGGGATGTTAGATGATCATCGATGTTAAAAATTAAAACTTCGATGTTTTAACATCGATGTTGACACATGTCAAACATCGAAACTCAATATCAACTAAATCTTGCATCTGCTCTGAAGATTTAAAATTTAGAATAATTCAGAATTCCTGAACGCATCGTTAACCTAAAAAAATGTCAGTATGGTGAGTCAAACTTAATTGTCAAGTGTCACCTGTGATGTCACAATGGTCACTGCTTTCGCTTTATTTTGTAGTGTCGTTGTCGGTTGTCGCATAATAACTATTCTACGTAAATTGATATTCAAGTTAATAGTTACTTTTCCCTTGATGTGTATACCCACATAATTTAGAAACAATGTGTAAGTATCTACACATATACAAAAACCATCGATAATGGTCATCATCGATGTTTTAGCCTAAACATCGAACATCGATGTTGAGCTATCGATGCCAACATCGATGTCATCATCGATGTTATTATCCCTATCTTAAAACTGTAAGGAAAGTTATTTGGTATTAGAGGTTTAGAGGGATTCTGGGTATAAAACAATATCACGACATTTATTGCAAATTTACTACTTTTAGTCGAGTTTTCGAGTTTTGTTGAATAATTTCGACGTACGCGGTACGTCTCTTTTTTCTGTTACTGTCGGTGTTTGTGCTTTGTGTTGTTAGCCTACACGGCTCTAACAGTCTTGCAGCTTTGTCGGACTCATGAACATGAATTTTTTTAGGTGAGTGTCAATACGATTCACCTGCGAAAAATCTTAACACCGCAATTCAGAAAAGGTTGTAATTTGTACAACGCCATCTATTACGTTCTTTGTGAGAAAACATCTTTTTTTAATTTAAGGAAAACATATTTTTTTTTACTGTGTTTTAAGTATAAATATATTATAATAGAACGTTTTTTTTTACACACGTATCTTTTTATTACTATTTCTGAGATTTTGTGGCGCCATTAAACAAATTCGAACCTACATTTCAAAATAATAATCATAACTTTCGATAGAATTAACCAATTTTAATAAAACAAAGATTAAATGTAACTCGAAGATACGCTTTATGATTTTCTTAACGATTTCTTTGAAAAAAAAAGATGTTTACTTTAGACGTGATGCTTTCATATAAAAACAGACAAACAGACAGAAAGACAATTCTAAAAATTATAAAAATGTACTTATTTAATTATTTTTAGTTCCCCATAATGATTTTAGTCACCATAATATATATATACAATGTACAGAAAGAGACACATGTTATCATCATTTTTATTATATGTATATATTTAAAGAGAGATGGCGCTGCTAACATCAACTTGATGACTCAAACAAAGCCACCGTTGAGCAAATTCCCTACCCATACTTCAGAATATTTATCATAACTTTTGATGGAATGAACCGATTTTAATGAAATAAAGACTAAATGTAACCCGAAGGTTTACTTTATAATTTCCTTAACAATTCTTATGATATAAATTAGTACTTTAAACGTGATACGTTAACAAACAAACAGACAGACAGACAGACAGACAGACAGACAGAAAATTCTAAAAATGGTAGAAATGTATTTAATTACTTATTTTTAGTACCCCTCAATCACTTTTATTACAAAAATATAAAATGTACAGACATCTGCTATTTACAATTTTATTATATGTATAGAATAGATATACCACGCATTCGAAATAAACTGTTTATTTCGTCATTCGTAACGTGTACCACAGATAAGTAGATTAATTTGCATGCCTGTTACTAGAGGGCGTGTCGATCTGGTAACTGATGCTTCCTGCATATCTTCGTCAATGGATGCAGGTGCTTTGTGGTATTCCTTAATATAGGTCAATATACAGTAATGTATAATTAGTGGCTTTGAGGTATTCCTTCTATGTTCTCAGAGGTGACAACGTATCCTTAGACTTCTTTGTGTGAAGATGGCTGTAGGTGAGATCAGGTGGAATGTAATTTTATTTGCCGCTTCAATAAAAAAAAAGCAGTGGATTTGTGAAAAGCGGTAAGGATGATGATGATTTATGTCTTTACATTCGATTGTATTCGGCAAGAGTGAAGAAGCTTCATCACCACTTACCATCAGGTAAGACAGTAGTCAAGCCCTGGCGCACAATAAGTAAAAAAACACTACCACTAATCGCAGTACCACTACTCCCACCACCATTACATTAGGAAAGATAAACCACCGACAATAATACGACTCGTGTTTCGCCTCTACACGAGGCATCCTCAGGTTTAGTAGACTGCGGTGGCTGACTGCTAAGCACATTAGTAAATAAACGGAACAAAGGCAAAGCTTCCTAAGGACGTGCAAAATTGCTACCTATTTTGGTAGGGTTGTCACAATAGGTGAAGATAAATTAAACAAAACAATACATATCATATTATTGCATTGTCACTGAAGTTATGGTATACAAAATTTCAACTCAATCAGACATAGGGAAGTGGTTCAAATCTTACTTGCAATATGTGAACTTAACCCACACGTACTACATACCAACCCACCCATATACCTACAAATGTTTAGTAAAAGCTTGTAATAACAATAAAAAGGTAAAAACACACCGTGTTCCTCCTCCAACACCCTCTTCTTCTTAAAAGAAGGATCATACAATAAAATAAAGGGTACTTACTTGAAAAAGTAATAATCAAATATTTACTTACCTAGTGCTCCTTGGGATAGTTGAGTTGAGTATGATATATTTTATAAAAGCTTTTACAAAAATTTACTTCGCAAATATCCGCGTTATAAAATAAAATGATGTGTCTTACCTAGTACGAAGAGCACCTCCCGCCCTCCCTCAATTGCGTGCACTATCCCCGTCACCACTAATCCCAGCACCGCTACTCCCAACACCACTACACTAGGCAAGACACAACACTGACGATGACGATAGACTCTACGGTGGCTAACCGCTAAGTCAGCCACCGTAGAGTCTATATCACCTGAGGATGCCTCGTGTGGAGGCGAAACACGTGTCGTATTATCATCAGTGGTGTATCTTGCCTAGTGTAGTGGTGTTGGGAGTAGCGGTGCTGGGATTAGTGGTGACGGGGATAGTGCACGCAATTGAGGGAGGGCGGGAGGTGCTCTTCGTACTAGGTAAGACACATCATTTTATTTTATAACGCAGATATTTGCGAAGTAAAATTTTTGTAAAAGCTTTTATATAATGGATTTCCGCAAAGTAACGCCTGATTCTATTAATGACATATTTTGATTTTTTCTAATATTATTCATACACAGTACAATAAGTAAACAACCATTATTAATAATATCACGTTTTCACATTAAAATATTCAAACTTGCAATTAACAAAACAAACAACGTCCGTCGCACTGACCCTGAGATTGTTGTCCACTGGCTGAGCCAGAGTAACCGGTTTTTTCCAGTTTCGCCGCGTACGTGATAATAGCAATAGGCCAGTGGTCACGCACACATGCCCCGCGTGCTTGTAGTAGTGCAACCGATTCGCGCAGTTGTACGAAGCTTTATCTCTGTTCCGTTTATTTACTCATGTGCCGCTAAGTGAGCGGTGAGCCAAAACAGGAGTTGTGTAAACTAGGTAAGACACATCATTTTATTTTATTGAGCGGATATGAGCAAAGTAAAATTTTTCCAACTTTAATTAAAAATAAATAAAAATAACGTTAAGTCTCAGGGGTGACAAATTGAACGTATCGAATATTTATTTAGAGCTCGTCTACAGATGTCCATGTACTCTAGTAGCCATTAAACTTCAGGTGGAGTACTTTAATGTTAAAAAAAGATCTCAGCAAATTAACTTAATCATTAAGATCGCTACTAAAATGACTAAGTACACAGCTGTTCACCGATCTCCTCTCAGAATTGGGATTTGGATTATCCTATCTAAGTATTTATGGCACAGATCATCATCATCATAATTATCTCAATGGTTGGCGGTCTCACCACATTGTGAAATTTACTGTCGCCAGCGATTTTTCCGGGCCGATACAACTTAGGGACTTCCAAGAGCCTACTCCTATCTAAAAGGCAGGCAACACACCTGCTATTCATCTGGTTTTGTACGACGGTGATCACTTACCATCTAGTGAGACTATCCTTGTTTGTTTTGTTTTCCATAAAAAAAAGGTTCTTTTTAATTGCTTAAATACGCGGGTTGCTTAACAATGATTTCCTTCATTGGTGTGTGGGTGGTGAATCAGCACTTAATATTGGGATTAACAACTTTAGTGGTGCTGGTGGCATTCAAACATGGTCTAAAAAACTATTACCTTCTAAAGTTAGGCGGTGGGATGACAACGCTGCAGGTCTCCATCAGCTCGGCCATGTCGTGTTGGCAGGGCTTCAGGTGCAGCCCCATCAGTTCCGAAAACACTTTGTTCAAGTTCTCCTATGATTATAACATTTATAGGAGCGTATTTTTCCTTCCAAAGTTACGTTGTTACAGCATGGTGTTTTTTTTTTAATAAGATAATAGTTGATGTGGCCCATAGACAACTCTTACGCCCCTGAGGACTAAGATGGAATGCCTCGTTTCCAATAAAGGTCTCCGGTTCTCTACACTTACCATACGAAATACAGCAGCATTATTTTATGGTGGTATTCTGTGAGAGTGTGGTTGAGCCGACCCATTCGTGCTACAACCATAATTTAGCTGCAGCATGGCTTTACCACGTAAAGAAAGTAGTCTTTGAAGTCAGCTCGTAGAAGTCTACTGGACATGAGCCTCTTGCGTTATAGAGACGATTTGAATATTTTATTTGAAAAAAAAAGAAAGAAAGAAAATATTTATTTCGCCACAAAATCACAGCGCCATATTGTACATAATATTTTCAATTTTAAACATTATTAAATAGTACTAGACGTTGCCGAACGTGACGAAAAGGGGTCTCATTCAGCATTTGCCGTGGCGTATTTCAGTGTGGCCCAGTTTCGTCTCCTTAGAGTAGTTCGAGCAGTGGTCTACTCGTATCATCGTGCGTTATTAGTTGCGTTGCGTTGCGTGCGTATTTCTTGCGTAAACGCAATAAATATACCGGTATCTATACGGATATATACCGGTATCTATCGGGAGGTAAAAGATTTATCTGGTATTTTACACAGTCATCTCTTACAGCACCCACTGGGCGAAACGGGATGTTGGATTATCTTAGGCAGCCACAAAACGGCATTACTGCTAACAAAACACAACTATACGTCCATCTACAATCTCACGGGTACACACGTGATATAGTTTCTTTTGTTGCATCTGGTAGAAGTGCACAATGAGCGAGCAGTAGTTGACGAACACCTCGAAGACCGTCTCGTCGTCCGCGTCGAACGGCCGACCGTCGTTTTTGTTCATTAACTGGACCACACCTGTAAACCCATTGTTTAAGTGTAGGTTTCTTTATTACCTTTTAAATTTTCTCTCATTTCTGGATGGGCTGTGGAGCGATGAATCCATCACGTTACTTCTGTACGTACGTGTTAGAGTCTCACGTGAAGACTTCAGTGTGAATGTTTCCTTCACCACCGAGCACGTGGTAAATAAGCACTTAAAGTTGCAATTAGTAATTTAATATAGTGCCATCGGGAATCGAACTAAGCTACCACGGCTTCAGTATAAATGTATACATTATAATTTTTCATTCATTCATTTCTAAAGTCTACAAAATATTACATTTTTATCACATTCTCGGTGGTAAAGGAAACCTTATCGAGAAATTATAAAGAAAAACATTTTCCTAAAACTTTCACACATTCATGTCCATTTTTCCTTGACGTAGCCGTAGTATGTTCTGTAGTATCCTTAACCTAGAACCCTTTCATTAGAGGAGTGCCTTCATCAGTGGGACATATATCTGTTATTATATTGTTTCCTATTTGTTTTGCTTTACTTTATGGTGTTTATAACTTAAGAGCATTACAAATGGTGTCTTTTGAAATTCTCTCCCAGTGAACAGGACACGAGGCGTGACGAATTTTTCTTTTTTTATAGAATAAGGGTGAAGTGTGACAAACGAGAATACATTACACCTGATGGTAAGCGAATGCTTTGGCCCATAGACATCTACAGCTATCCTCTATTAAGAAAACTAAGATGGAATGCCTCGTATCCAGTAAAAAGGGTCTCCGTTTCTTTACACTCACCATACGAAACACAGCAACATTAAGCTGCCATTTTACGCTGTTCTGTGAGAGCGTGGTCCTTCCCCGGTCGAGCCGACCCATTCGTGGTACAACTATACTACTAATAGCTGCAGCATGCCTCTACCATGCATAAGAAATATTGTGAATCTGCCTAAACGAAGAGAACATAGTACACATATTTTTTTAATTAGTGAAATACTCATTATTTGAATATTAATATTATGTATAAAACTAATTACTTAAAATTATTGTAGTAAATATTTAATTTCACTTTGCCTTCACTGATATCATCGGTGCCAGCGAGATTGTACCCTAACTAAATCTTCCTTATAATACAATATTTATGTACTCAAAGAATAAACGTTTAACAGGAAGCAAAATATAGATAGCAAATATAGATTATCTAAATATATATGTTGAGGCACTGAGGGCTGCGTATTCGAATCCCGCATGGAACAAGTATCTGTATGGCCTACAAAGAATTGTTTTCGGACTGTATGTTTTTCCTTGTGAATTTATGTATGTAAACTACTTCCACGATTCAGTAGAAAATTCCAGTGTCAGGGTAGATAACGTTTTTTAAAACAATGAAATCCACTTACCTATTACTCCATTCTTATCTATGATAGGAGACACTAAAGAAGCTCTCACAACCATCCCAGAGGTAGGATCGATTTCCTTCGCAAAGCGTGGATCTTTGTATGCGTCCCGCACATTGATCGGCACGCCTGTTCTTGCCACTAAGCCTGCCGGGCTCTCCTCTAAGGTTAAGCTGGAAAATTCAAAGTTTAATAAGTGATCTTCTGACCTCCAAGACAGTTAATGATTGTTGATGTCGATAGCTGCTCTGAGCCATATGGCCAGTAAAGCTGGTGTCCCAAAAGGTGTCTGTTTTCTTCGTAACTCTCTTAGTGTAGTAGAGATGTTGCATCTCTTTGCGTATTTTATCGCATCTACCACGGGGAGTGCTCTGAGGAATTGTTCGAACTAATTCCAGCCGCTCAATTTCACCATCACACATCGCGACAAAACTCGCGAAACCATCCATGCCATCTAGATGATTGGCGGTGTACCACTGTGCGATTTAGAAGAAGTTTTCTTCCTCGCACGACTTCCTTGTGAAATCGATTAGCACCAGCGATTTTTCCGGACCGATACAACTTAGGGACTTTCAAGAAAAGAGCCTACTTCTTTTTAAACGGCCGGCGACGCACCTGCAGTTCCTCTAGTGTTGCGGTTATTCTTGGGCGGCGGTCGACACTTACTATCAAGTGAGCCGTATGCTTGTTTGCCCCCTTAAAAAAAAAACTGGCCAAGTGCGTGTCTGGCTACGCACAATGTATAGGTAGGGTTCCGTAGTTGCCCGTTACAATATGTGGGATTCCTAGATAATGGCATAATAAATGAGTTCGTGGTTTGACCGCTATAACGACTAAGAATAGGTCCAAATAGGAAGATCGTAACTGAAGGACTTATTTTCAAATCAGCCTTATAGGGAGTGGTATTAAAAAAATATAAAAAATCTTTTCGATTTTGATAATATTATCTAAAAAGTAAAGATAATAGTAGTAATGCTTATAAGTCGATTTTTTTATAAAATGTTTATTTTTAACAGTTTACAATAACATTACAAAGCTATTAATGCAGCTAGTTTTAGGTCATTTTCTATGGAGTTGTAACGAAATTTTTACTAATCCAAGTGCATTTTATAAGTTGGTCGACTATTACTCGTTAACTTCTTAATTCTACTTAGTTGTGATAGCTTTCCTTTTTATATATACTACTATTGTGTATACTTTTCACATTTACAAAAACAGAGATTTAGTTGATAGAGGGGGGGGGGGACTCATGATTCTAAAAAATACCACTTTAAAGCTAAATATAATATAATGCGAGGACCTTTTTTACTTGTATGGGAATTACCCAAAATAAAATATAAATTCCTTGATATTATAATAACCCTTTTCATACAAACTTATACAAACTATATCTATAACTATGCCAAGTTACAGATTTGTAACACCCAGGGTTACTGAGCAAAACCGCAGGCGGACGGACGGACGGACGGACGGACATGGCGAAACTATAAGGGTTCCTTGTTGTGTAACCACGGAACCCTGAAAACATGTTCACATTTTGCATACTCGATTATCAATCGAGGAATAAACCTCAAGCAGCAGTTCTTTTAAAATATTCATAACACTTACTTAATCTTTGCCTTTTTCCTGGGGAGAGAACTCATTTCGGACGCCCAGCCGTCGTCCCACATATCAGCCAGCAGCTGCCCGTCTATTTGTTCGCGATCAATTATGAAAAAGCTGCTGCGCATCGCACCGATGAACGACTTTATTATTGCCTGTGAATAAAACTTCATCACCACCAGTATCACCATCCCAAAAACTATGTCGTGTTTTCGATAATATTTAAGCATCAAAATACAGATTTAGGTAAAAAAAACCTAGGTTTAGGTTATAGGATAAATACCATGATCAAGAAACGGGCTTACTGTTTTAAAATTAAGGCTGGCAACGCCATTCTCCTAGTGCTGCACTTGTTCATTGGCGGCGGTCGACACTTGCCATCAGATGAGCCGCGGGATATTTGCCATAGTTGCCACGCTTGACAAGTGGGTTGGCAATCGCATTTTTTTATTTTTAGTTGTTATTAGGAAGACGCTGCTGCCCATCTCCTGATTTGTTTCCCTCTATCACCTCTTACGACACCTTCCGGGATGTGGTAGTGGATATCTTTCACCGAAACTACACGGTAATGTAATGGTATAAGATAAATTATTTAAAATACTGATGTAGTTCTATGAACTATTAGCTATTAACTTAGCCTAATAGCTTACCCATATTGGTCAAAACTATTAAGCTAAGATTCCCATATACCTATTATTTATTTACGTGGTAGAGCCATGCTGCAGCTGTATAAGTAGTATGGTTGTAGCACAAATGGGTCGGCTCGACCGGGGAAGGACCACGCTCTCACAGAATACCAGCGTAAAATTGCAGCTCCGCACTACTGCTGTGTTTCGTATGGTGAGTGTAGAGAACCGGAGACCCTTTTAACTGGAAACGGGGCATTCCATCTTAGTCCTCACGGGTGACAACGCATCTGCATTTAAATTCGTAATTGAGGATAGATGTAGATGTCTATGGGCCACAATTACCACTTATCATCGGGTGGACAGTTTGCTCATTTGTCACCATTATGCTATAAAGAAAAATATTATTTAAGCTCTAACAACTAAACATTTTAGCTTACACACGTCCCACTTCGGCTGCGCGCGCTTTAAATGATGAGAGCATTTAAATCAAGGAAAAGAACCACTCCTAAATTAACTTTTGTACCTAGTTATAACTTTATTTTAATACATTTTTTTATTACTACGGTCTTACACGCAACAACTAAACTATACATTTTTAATGGTCCTTCGAGTCGGATCCGGCTTCAAAGATACAAAATTTAAGTTAGGAGTTTTTTTTTTTTATTAAACGTTACCTGTACCGTCGAGGCGGTCTACATACATAAATTTCACAAGGACAAACATTTAACACAAACCCGGAACAATTATTTGTAGGTGATGCAAATACTTGTTCCTTGCGGGATTCGAACCCGCGGCCCTTTGCGCAGAAACTCATTGCTAAGCCACTGCGCCACGAAGCCGTCAAAGGAGTGGTTCTTTCCCTTGATGGTAATGCACTGATTACTCGTGAGCTCGTTACGTTAAAAGTAAGTTTAACCACAGATTAAATAATAGCACAAGAGTTTAAAACACTGGCCTAAGTAGGTCACGTACACATACAATGTACAGTAATTAGACCCTTTTTTAAACGTGGTAGAACCATGCTGCAGCTGTATTACATGTATAATTGTAGCACGAATGGATCGGATCGAATGGGGAATGACCATGGCCTCACAGAATACAGAGGTGAGTGTAGAGAATCGGAGACGCTTTTTACTGGAAAAGAGGCATTTCATCTTAGTCCTCACGGCTGATAAGGCATCTGCATTTTGATTCGAAAACGAGCATAGATGTCTCTATGGACCACAGCAGCAAACTATTATGTGGACTGTGTGCTCGTTTGTCACCCTGTCCTATAAAAAAAATTGTATTATAACCGCGCAGACCATAGAAATATAGACTTATCCATCGAACAAACGTTTATTTTCATCATTTGGTCCCTTAAAATCGAACATTTGCTTAGGATTTTTTGTTTAGACATTTTAATAAAGGTGATATTTCAATAAAAATGTAGGATCTCCCTCCACTCAAGCATTTAAATGGGACTTTAATTATTTTTAGAAGTTTTGTTTTTTAAATCTGAAAACTCTCAATGCTCTTACAAAACAAACATATAAAAACGTCATTATTCTGAAATAACCAAACGGCCCCGTTAAATCGCACCAGCATGTCTGTTAGCATAGTATCGATGGAGGCCAGGTCGCAGAAGTACTTCTGAAGCAAGGCGCGCAGCTCCATGTTGAGGTGGGTGGTCCTCTGCAGTGTGACACGAGCCTGTGCTTGATGCACTGCCGCCCCGGCCCAGCAAGATATACTCACTGCTGTGCAAATTACGTTCTAAAAATATAAAGAAAGAAAGATATTTATTTTATGCCACAAATTAGTAAGTACCTATATACATATTACAAAATAGTAAGTTGGATGAACTAAACCACAGTGTTTCATTACATTTCTTTTTCTTCAACATTAGTTTCTTTACGTGGGTATCTTATCTATACTTAATATAATAAAGCGGAAGAGGTATTTTGTTTGTTTGTTTAAACTCGCTAATCTCAGGAACTACCAGTCTGATTTTAAAAATTATTTTTGTATATTATAGCCAGATTCATGAGGCCATAATATACAAAATACAAACAGCTAGCCTTAAATATTGCTTATTGTTAAGGAAGACAGAAGAAAAAGCGCTCCCAAACTGCTTTATCCCCGTGCGCTGGCGTAATTGTTAGTGATACGTACTATTATTTATTCTGTGGTGATACGTGTTCTAAAAGTTCTGGAAACCATGTGCCTATTTATTATACATAAGCCACAATAAGATATTTTGTGACAAAAGTTATTAAAAATTAAAAAGTGATTTTTGAGATGCGCGGGGCTCAGATGCGTGATATACGCGGGTGAAACCGTGGGGCACAGCTAGTGTGATAAGGGCAAATTTGAGATAGACATCGGTACATCGTTACCTTTACAGTTTCCCACCATTACATCCTATCGGAAGTCCACTACTGAACAAAGGCCTCCCGATAGTTTGCCTCATAGTGGTAAGGGATATTTGCCATAGTTACTACGAGTTACCGTTCGTAGTTTTTTGTGTTTTTAGTTGTTATTAGGAAGACACTGTCGCCCAGCTTTCCATCTGTCACCTCTTAGCTACCTAGACACTTCTTAGACCAGCATTAATAAACGTTACTCAACGATGAACTCAAGTGCGTAATCATTTGATACGCCCTCATTACGATATCAGCATCTCAAGATCGTTGCTAATTAATAGACAGATAAAAACAGTATCTCAAAACACTGTACTTAGGAATACGGTTCTGTGACTTGCACGTCAAGTACACACACTTGAGAGTTGAGTTTCGTTTATTAATCAGTGTGGCAGTCAGCTGATATCGTAAACCTAAACCGCATCTTGAGATATGTTTATTAATAAGACCATAACCTCAAGATTGTACTCAAGTGCGTGTACTTGAGCTGAGTAACGTTTATTAATACGGACCATAGACACCTAGAGGAAGATGTTGGGTAGGGGGTATTTTTACACCACTTTAAGGTTGATATCAGCTTTGAGAGGTTGAGGTTAGCAGCTTCAAGGGAAGCCAGCCGATCAAGCTGGTTGGTATTCAGCACGTTTTTTCATAGAACATAAGGGTGACAAACAAGCAGACAGCATACCTGATGCTGTGGCCCATAGACACTTATAACTTCTTTCTTCGATTAATAATCAAAATGTAGATGCGTAGGCACTCCTGAAGACTAAGATGGAATGCCTCATTTCCAGTGAAATGGGTCTCCATTTCTGTACGCTCACCATACGAAACACATATGTGTTACATCGTGTTCGGATAGGTTAGGGAGATCGATTGGCTCTGTTTGCGCGTACATTTGTGGATTGTGATTTATCCTGCGCAGTTGAAAGCTTCCATTGCGACATTCAGACATTATCATCACGATGTTAAGTTGGCCAGGAAATCATCACGGAGCAAAATCCCGGACGTTTTCAGTTTTTACCATAGAGCAACACGGACCACCGGCGGATCGGAGGGGAGTAGCTATACGAAGGCTATGGAGTGTAGAGAGAAGGAGGACCATCTCTATATATGAAAAGTGTTCCTAAAAACGTGTCCAATAAGGGTGGCGCTGCAGTAGCATAGGATAAATTTAAAAAAAGCGCCAAAATTAATTACAATAAGATGGAGAAATAAACAAGGACCGACCAATTCGCTTGGTTTTGTACTACGTAAATAGTTGAGATTTTGTATACTGGCATTTTACTAACTACTCTAATCATGAATTTTTTTAAATATTTGAATTCAGCTGACTTCACTCCGTTCACAACAGCTATCTTCATATCATAGTTTTTCAGACGCCAGCGCTATTGTGGTAGGTTTTGGAACCTCTATTTTCAGTAAATAGTAGGACACTTTTCAACTTTCGCCCCTTATAAGATGGTTCTCCTTGTACTCTACACTCCATAACGAAGGCGTTCCCATATGCATACAATAAATCTAGATGTAGCCGCACTGATCACTAGACTAAATCTAGTTGCGTGGCTGAATTGACGTTCTACAAAAATGACGAATTGTTCTATTTTTTGCTGCAAAGAGAGATATGCCACGTCAAATTTATAAAAAGATGGAGTTACCGTTCATATATAAGTAATTTTAATCACATTGTTATTTACTTATTTTTAAACTTAAAAGTTACAATAATAACCATAGTGTTGTTTCGGATTTGTTTACCGACACAGGTCGTTCGTCCTCATACAATATGCAGATCGGTCGAGCGACTAATTCGAGTCTGCATCCGAGTTGTCGCTATTACCAAGCGATACTGTTATAATCTATCTATGTGTATGTGAAATTGTTATGTGTAAGTTTTGTAGTGACAAAAGAGTGTTTTTGTGTGCGCAGATTTCGCCTCGCAATAAATTACAGGTAGTTTTGTATCGGAGAAAACCGCTATAGTTACTCCCTAAAATTCAATTCGATAAAATCCGTAAAGTAGCAAAATTATAATTAAAAAATATATTTAGTATTGTTGTGTTTTGATTTTCTCCTCTAGGAGTCCGCGTCTGCTTATGCCGGGGAGAATATACGAGCTTAAGGATCTACTTCAACACACATTGTCATAGGGTTCACTGTAAGTCCTGTACAGCTCCAGGACCGCATAGCAGTCCCCGTCAGGTTTCACCACGGGCATGCAGAGCGCCACCTTAGCGTCCACCCACTTTAGCCCCTCTGCGAATCGCCGATCTCTCTGCACATCTTCCAGCAGAAGGTACTGTTTTGTTGCTGCTACATGTGCTGCTGCTACTTTTCCTTCTTCTGTATAATGGTTAATGATGAAATTTTCAATTGCAGTACAAGTACACAAAATCTGTACACGTAAAATAAGTCAATAAATTATTACCTCATCTCTATCTAATTCTACTCTTAACAAAATTATTCATATAAACGTGCGAAAGAACTGTCTTTTTTAATAAAATTGAAGGGAGAAGCAAACTTACATTCTATCTGAGGGTAAATGGCTACTGCAGTCCATGGAAACCTGCAGTCAACATGAAACAATGAAAGCTACAGAATCGCAGCGAATACACTCGTAGCGAATATTCGCTGTGTGTGACTGAAGCTTAATTATACTCTCTCTATACCTTTCAGACCAATGCAGGCAGTGCTATTCGGCAGCAGATATCAGTAAAGGGATGGTAGTTAATTACCCAGACATACCTCTAAGCTTAAAAAGACATCACTTATCAAAAATAATTCATTAAACCGTGTGAAAAATCGATTTACCACTTATACCCATCAAAATCATTAATTAAACTGTGCAACATAAGTGTCTTACTTAGATCTTAGACTTCTATCTACGTCATGTTAAAATAATCTTCTCACACCAGACCGTCATCAACAGCCTCTTTAAATTCGCCAATAGCCATAAAACTTCTCAAGAATGCGCCAGATGGCATTACATTTCTTGGAAGGGTCATACGCAGTACGCACTCTAGGCAGGCGAGTAAGCGAGCGCAAAGCCGATACTGTCTCACTTTTATTTTATGAAATTAGGTTCATGTCTTTTTTTATCGAGGTAGACCGAGACTAACTTTCGAAGACCATGTGAGCAAATTGCTCGAAGAGGGGAGGGTCAAGAGTACTCGGATACCTAGACGTGCATGTATGAAGAAGATAAAGAATTGAAAGAAGCGAAAGAGGTATGTAAGGATCGTGACACTTGGCGATCTGTTCTCTCTGGCTACGCCGTCACGGGATTGTGCGTGAAGATAAGTAAAGTAAGTATGTCTTTTTTTATACAAGTAGGTAAGTTTGATACAAGCAAGGGTGACAGTCCACATGATGTGAACCATCATGTGGACTATCACCCTTGTCTTGTGATGTGAGCTGCAGCTCATAGATATCTAAATCGATCCTTCATTAGGAATCAGTATGCATATGCGTCGTCATTCCCTTAAGTGTAAGATGGAATGCCTTTTTGCCAGTAAAAAGGGTCTCTGGTCTCGTTATCATACGAAATACAACAGTATTTTACTGTTTTATGCTGATACGGCAAGTATGGTACTTCATAATTACTTTAAAATTTGTACTTCATTGTTCGAGCCGTACCATTCGTGCTGTAGTCATAATAATCAACTTTTTTTATACCGTTGCTCATGGCGAGATGTTTATCATAATTGCTAGGCTTGAGTGACGTCCTTTTCTTGATTTTAAGATGAAATTTTGAGGAAGGCGTATTTACAGCAGTGGGCTTGTGATTGGCTGAAATGATGACGATTTCCAGTCGCCAGACCATCATGGCTTTACAAGGCACTAAATGGACTCGAATCTTTATTAATTCTGTTAAACATAAATATCGTGAAACGAAATTGTACACAGACCTATAGGTATATTAACCTCATGGCGCTCGGGGTTCTTGGTGTTTTGCGTCATCAACAGTATCTCTTTTCTCAAATTGTCGACGGTATAAACAAATACGCCTGCAATTTCAAGCACATTTATAGCTCACTGAACAAAGTGATCCTTGACACTGCATATAAACCTATCTCTGATCTCATCTCTCTAGGCGTTAGGGTTACATTAAACCAGTGTTGTGTCTAGAGTGGTTTTATTTAAATATAATAAAATATAGATCATGTGGACAGCAAGGTCCTTTGACATTGTTATTTTATAAAAAAAGGTTTGTCATATCCTCAGCTAGGCATGACGTCTCCTGTTATAGAGTGGATTTTCCCTAGATTGACACGCCGATTAAAGATCTCAGTACCATTCGCCTGGTACCTTTCACGCTGCTCCCCGTTGTCGTTATAAATAAAAAAAGCGGAAAATATTGGGAGTCGCAATTTAATTAGTCAGTTTTTCGCTTTAACTTTTCAAATGATAGCAATATAATTATCAAAAATCTAAAAAATAGCTCTTACTGAAGAATTAAAATATAACGAATATCTTAACATTAAGTTAGCATTGAAAGTTGTGAAAATGGAGATAATCTGGACGCACTCACGAACGCACGCATTCACATACGCACGCACGCACGCACGGCGTGCACAGCCAAAAACAGAAAAATGCAGCCGGAAAAAGCTAACCGATTGGTCACGGTGTAACTGGTATTTAAAAAAGGTTTTCTAGTGAGTGACTTCTATGATGTCAGCCTACCTGAACTATTCGTGATCGTCTTAAGAACCATTGCAGTCTCATACAGCAATGAATCAAGATCCACAGTATCCTCCAGGAATATGTTAAACCTGCTAATGTCCAAGTACGTTCCCTCTTTAGCCTCATCCTCTTTCAAGCCCTTCCTCTCTATCTGAGCGTACGGTGCGATCACACGCCGTGTCACTTTGTCTAACTTCTCCGAGGAAACTAGAAAATGGGACTGAACTGGGTTTATACCAGATGTTTTTTTGTTACTGGATCCTTCGTTCTGATTGATAGTGTCTAGTCGGTTTTTCACTGATTTCACGTTTTTTGGTGTTGGATCAACCATTTTTCGTTTTAGCCAAGTTTCAATACTGTTGGTGTTTGTGATGACGGATTTGACTCAGTCATCTTATGACATTGAAAGTTATTTTCGTTTTTTATTAATATAACTCACAAAGTAGGTATTTGTATTCATTCTCTAAGTTCACTTCGGAACAATTTTTTTAATAGAAATAATTTACTTAATTTATTAAAAAATCATATAATTAATTTGGTTTTACAAGGAGTCGCTCAACGAATGACGGCGATACTGAACTTATTAAATATATTTTTACATCTGGGAAAACTCACAAGATGCTTTAGGTATTTATTGTGACTTTCCCAAGTCTTTAGACTGTGTTCATCATGAGACATTAAGCAGGAAACTACAACACTACGATGTCGAAAATATTGGGCTTAGACTTATTATTTCATACAGTAACAAAACTCATAAAGTCGTAAAGGTATAGTGTTTATAAAAATGTGTTATACATTTATTATTTTCTCGTCAGGCGGGCAATGCAACACCGCGCGACACGTTAGTAAGTACCCACTAGCTTTTACAATAAATACACAAATAATACTGTTAATGAATGCTTCTTTTTAGTTCATATATAATTATGTTAAAATTTGTTATTATAATTTATTGTTAAATTAACACAGCTATTTCATTCACCTTATGGTCCCTAACAAAATACGAACAAATCAAATTTACAGTTAAAGAATATTAATAAAAAACGAAAAGAACTTGTGAGTATAAATAAAAAAACTGCGGTTGCCAAGCCGCTAGCCAAGCGTGGCAACCATGGCAAATATCCCCCCTATGATGCAATCTATGGGGAGGCCTATGTTCAGCCGTGGACTTTAATAGGCTGTAACGGTTGGTATTATGAAATAATCTGCATTTGTTGAATCAAAATTATTCCATTCTATAACATAGATCTCCTTCACGTGGACGAGTCCAAGTTTGGACTCATTCTCTCATTTGGACCATTCGCAGCCCCACCAGCGTCGGCCGCCCTATGGCAACCCCTTCTCGAGGGAGGACCTCTCCTCCCCATTCTCAGGCAAGGCGCACCAGGAACACAAGGACGGAAATCGGAACCCCCCCCCCCCCAAGTACGCGGAGGATAGAGCGAGTGGCGCATCGTCATACCTCACTCCTCTTTCTCCGCGACTCCACCTCGACTGCAGCGGTAGGAGGACACTCTTCTCACCGCAGCCCACCAACACACATCCGAAATGGGCTCGGCAAGCCCACTAGGAGTGGCCACCTCGGCCCGGCCCTACACCACGGGTCAGTCAAGGGGTTCCTCATTGTTCACCGCGGGTGACCAAGCCACGGTTACTAAGCCCCCCCCGCCACGACAGGGAACGGGAACCCGTTCGGAGTGGGCGCGGTCTGGGTTACCTACCCGAAAAAAAAGTTTAATTATATAGTATTCGCTTAAATACATACTAAAGAAAACAGAATATACCCACAGGTGAAAAATAAAACAAATACACAGAAGTGATAGCAAATTTATTTATTATCCTATTATGATCGACATAATACAGTGTAACATATAAATTGCCTGTACCAAACATAATTTCATTAAACTCTTCTAGTAACACAAGTGCACCGATAGATTTGTACACGAATGACCTTGTTCGAAATCAAACTTTTTACAAATGACGTTCACATCATGTTAGTGGTTTTTTGTCTTAACATTACGACCTTAATTCATTTTCTCATAGACTTTATACCGTCAGAAGCTTATTGCGTTTTATCTTCATGATCTTCGAAATATGATTTTAACTAAAACTAAGTATACCTAAGTATTCAGAGTACTCCCGACAACAGTTCGTGCCACACATTGCGTCAAAAAAATGAAACCAATGTGTAGCTTTAAAACTAAACCCTTGAGTAATCAATAATAAATATAACTTATATAATTAGCGAAATTATATGTGTATTGAGATTTATATACGCAGAATATTATATTATGTAGTATTTTAATACGAAAAAACTTACAACCATTTTAAAATGGCAATATAAATCGAAAAAATCATTTAACTTCGCAATGGTGCGAGATAAATATATTAAAATTAAAATAACTCAACGACTTCATTAATATTGCTTAATTTTAAACAACTACTTTACAATAACAAAATTTTGTTCCAAAACACATCGTATGACTATATTTAATGAAGTGTCATTTTTATTATGTTATCTGTGGAATGCAGTGCCGCGTGAAAACATTACGATTGAAAACTGACATTGGATAATAATTAAATAGCAGTTTGTATTTTTCTATGACATTATAATATTTATCTGTAATATTATTCAAGGACGGTGAACTTTACGACAATTCACTATAGAGCCACCATCAATTTCATTTCTACAACATTTCACTATTCTTCAGACTAATGCCAGCTCCACGTGGATCGCCCAAACCTCCAGAATCCAATTTGTAGAATTTCACCCGATTTGATTTGTTTGACTGAGCTCTCGCGTCGCCACCTGCGAGCTAAACAAGTCGTCCAAATCGTACGAACCGATCTGACCAAATTTGACAGTTTTTAAACTGTGTTATTTTAGTTTTATAACGTCTCCAGGGATGGTTTACAGTTGAAATGTATTGGGTGCGGCTCAGGCAAACGTTTGCAGTTGGACGATCGTGTATCGTGGACAGAATTTTAATTTCATTGAGTACTATGGTAATATTAACATCAAGATTTGATATTTGTTTTTAAAATGGTAAAGACATTTAATCCGATGTTTAAAAAAAGACATTTTCTAGGTTATATATTATATATATTAACTATCTGCGACCTTATGTACATTTAACATCAGTAAGATCTCGGTCAAACCAACTGACCACCCTATTAATGCTAAAAACAAAAATTTCCCGACATTTTAAAACACTGGTAGAACATAAAAATGTTTAATAGGTATTACATATACATGATTTCCAAAAATATTGAAATTCTTTTATTTAAATATGACCTGGCTTGAAAGTTTATATTATTTTTAATTTCATGTTCTTTTTTTAAATATGAAATATGAGTGTCCGACCGAAGTTACGGCTTCGGCCTCCTTTGGACAAAAAATGAACCGAAGTTTAGGCTGAAGGCCGAAGGGCGCGAGCGTGATGGACGTGGCGACGCAATTTTTATCATCTCTACATCAACTTCTAGAGATGATTGAAATTACCTTTTTATATTATACAGCATATATTAACCTTTAATATTTAAGTATTAAAATAATTTCAATAATTAATTTCAGCCAACCTTGAATTAAATTCTTACTTTTTAGCCTCAGGCCTCGGCTTCGGGTGAATATTGTGACGATAGCCGATCAATCTGCTGCTGCCAGAAATCTACTTTCGGCCGGACACTAATAATGACTGCATATACCAAAAATCACCTTTTTGATAGACTAGTATTCAGTATTCATTGAGCCGCAATACTTTACGTAATGATATTAAAAAAAATGTAGGCTTGCTTTGACCGAAACGTTTAACCAGCGGTATAGAAGATATTACGTCAATATGGGCCAGCCCAATGTCGTCGGTATTTGAAAGCTGCTCAATAAGAATCTGTCACCTGAGATATTTCGCGGTAAAATGTGTAAACTGAAGTGACAACAAAGTGAAATTTGACAGCAAATTTCAAACCTAGCGACCAAGGAACTTTTGAGAAGAGACTAACGTGTTAATAAAATAAGATTCAAATAAATGGCAATTTTTAGATTCAACTCAATACAATTAGGGTTTACAATCTTTAAAAATAGCCTCAATTTAGGTATCATTTTGCTGTATATAGCACTTCATTCTCTACTTTACTCCAATGGTGACATTTGTAATGGATGAGGAATTGCAGTAAAGTCCATGTTAGAGGCGAGTTGGTGGAGGGGGAGCGGTTATGTGTTCCTTATTTTTCCAGGTACGTAGTTCTTGTCTATGGTCGGCTCCTGTAGAAACATGTGAAGGCACCTCTCGTTCTGAGCCAACGGGTGGCCTGCAATCTTGTTGATGAATACTTCTAGACCTGGAATTGAAACAGTAATGGGGTGTCAATTAACCTGTTGCTTTCACTTTGTACCTCTTGCTTACATCTAAGCTCTACCATATCTATAGACTAATTTTAAATAATGTTTGGGTATGCTGTAAAATTATTGATTTATTTCTTTATTAAGTCCACAAGCAATTGTTTCTTTAAGCCTTCAACAACAAAAAAAAGATATCCATCATAGACTGTTACGGGTGATAATGTTGATGACAAAGCTGAAACATCAAGCGTCAACTTATTAAAATAAGGGGCAATTTTTTTTAAAACGTTACCTCCACACTAGGATTTTCTCCTGTATCGCGGCAGCAGTTTACATACATAAATCAAAACCCCGAACAATTATTTGTAAGCCAAACAAATACTTATTCCGTGCGGGATTCAAACCCGAAATATTGTTTGCACTGTGTCAGTTGCATGCAATGCAATCGCCCTACATAGCTCGATTAACACTGGCATTGAAGAAACTACACACGTCATCCGGCTAGCGGCTGATAAAGCATGATAAAATTGACACACTCAACATTCTTGCTTGTGTAGTCCAAGTTCGTGGGCCGCACTGGTTCTCAGGGTCAATGTACCCAGGTCAAGGTTGAACCCAAGGGGCCAGCAGCTGGCCGAATTCATAGAGAAAGAGGGACTCTTTATGATGAAAACTTTCTTCCAGAACACGCAAGTGTGAGTAACGATCCAAGAGGAAGTCTTATCCGACACTATTCCAATGATTTTCCGGACGTCAGTCTGAGCGAGATTAGAATGGCTCTCCAGCACGTTAAAAACGGCAAGGCTCCAGGCGAAGATGGATAATTCCATTGGAAATACAGCGGAGCTTCTGAAAGCGGTATTTAAACAGTGGTAGAGCCACGCGGCAGCTTTTGCTGTCGCACGGATGGGCCGGCTCGAACCGGGGTAGTACCACGACCTCACAGAAAACCAGCGTGAAGTAGAGGTTTACCTCTGCGTTTCGCTTGGTGAGTG